TTTTTTTTTTTTTGTTTTGATTTTAAAAAGTAATATGTTGGGCCTCTGTTCCTTTTTTTTACCCTTTCTGCATTTTCCATTTATTTTTTTTTCTACTTTCTGAGGGATTTACTCAGTTTGTCATTTTAACACTTCTGTTACACTTTAATTTCCATTTTTTTTTTTTTTAAATTTACACCGGCTCTTTTCTCAGGGGTGGGTACACTCTTACACACACATACACATACACATATATTTATATGTTTCACGGATGTGATACTTTCTTTCTCTCTCTGAAGACATTAAATATAATTTGATTTTAGCGTTTCTCTCATTGTCTCTATTTCCTCAGACTCAGTTTTCTGTTTGCTGGTTTTTATTTGGATCTCTGCCTTTCATGTTAGACGCTCTTCTCAAACTTGTAGTGATTCTTGATTCTTTGTTCATATTTCAGAGTGAGGCTCCAAAAAATCCAGTAATTAGAAGCTAATTCTCTGTACATAGGTGGTGGGGCTTGCCAAGCAGTAGGCCTGTCAATGGATGATCAGAAAGGGACCTGGCTGTTTTGTGGGGAACTTCAAAGTGTCAGGATCTGTAAGGTCTCTTTTTCTAGGTTAGATCTTCTGAACTGGGGGCAGTCACCTGACTGCATTGTTTAGGAAGGTAATTTAGGGGTCCGGCAATTTCCTGTACAAATTTCCATTTTTAGCCCTAGTCTACAGTTTTGCCTTCAGAGATACCTGATCTCTTAAAATCTTGATCTTTTCTAGGATCTGGGAAAAACCTTTATAAGTCATGCTTGACTCCTCATGGTACTGAGGCAAATAACTGCAGTAGATTTGGCGCTGATAATGTTATTCATGTTTCTTAATCACTCGAGGAATTCCTGTAATTTTCTTTGTTAGATATGTATATTTTAGAAAAGTACAGTGTTCTCATTTTAGCAATTTAAATCGTTCTAAAATGTATAAAAAAGTTTTTCTGGTAGTGTCCCTCCATTCCTATCCCCTAAGTAACTTGTACTAATTGTATTGTCAGTTGTGTATCTTTCTAATACATTCTCATTGTCATACAAACACATACAATGATGTTTTATTGCTTAAAATAAAAAAGGATTCATACTTTACACGTTCTGTGGCTTGCTTTAATTATTCAGTATATCATAAACATCTCTCTAGTTTAATAGAAATAATCCCAACTTATTCTTTTTAATAACCAAATATTATTTCATAGTTTGGTTATATCATAATCTGCTAAACCATTCCCTTTGGTTATTCCATAATCTGTTTCCATTGGGACAGTGTTTTGTTTGTCTCTTACTATTCCAAACAGTGCTCTCATATGTATCCTTTGATCTGTCCCCACACACACTTTTGTTTCTTCTTTGCCTTCTCAAATCTTGAAATTTCAGTTTGATTAGTCATTTGCTTCGAGTGCCCCTAGCATTTTCCTCCAGCAGGACACCTGGTCATGCCTGTTCAGAAGTGTGTTGGGTCAGCATCCAGATAGGTCAGGCTCTTAGACCCCTACGCAGTGCCATACGAGGTGGTGGTAGACGCCCCAGCAGTTTTCTCGCCTTCAGGGCTGGGCATCACACCAGCTGGTGGACTCTCAGCTCCCGGCTCATAGGTTCCTCTGGTTGTGTGTACCCCCCTTTCCCAGCTCCAGTTCAGTGCATCACTGCAGCTCTTGTACACCCACATCCACATCTTCCGTTGTCTGGGTTCCTCAGGATGCACTGAAACCTAGGACTTTGCCCCAGGCTTGAAGAAAAATTGTGTCTTCCCTGCCATCAGTTCCTTGGTTCTTCCTTGATTGAGAGAGTATAGCTCACCTGGCTTTCTTCCTTGGAGACTTCAAAAGAACATGGGATCTCAGGTGGACCCTTCCTCATCATATCTGCCTTTGATGGGGTCAGGGATTTGTACTTGATTATCATCTTCCCAAAATCTCTTCATCTTTGTTGCTTTTTCCCCCCAATGTTTGACATATTTTCAGAATTATTCAAGAACATTCTATTTCCTATTGGTTTTTATATTATCAGTATCTGTAGCACTCCCCTCTGTGTTATATATAAAAATGGATACTGACCTGTCCTCTAGAATTCTAATGTCCAGGGAGATAAGATTCTTGAAGTTAATCCTGGCAGTGATAGCAAAAAGATATTGAGATTCTTTTAAACAGGACATCAGAATAGTCACATGGAAGAGACTATAGTAAAGTCTTTATAAAAGAAGGGACATTCCCCATCTCTCTCAGTCACTTGATGAATGTGTAACCTTTGTCACTTGGCTTGGAAACCCAACATAATACTACACATGTCTACTAAAGTCTGCCTAGTTGGTTCTAGTAGAATTCTGGAACATAATCTCTTCATAATTTAAAGGCTGGTTATATATGAATATTTTGTGGTATGTTAACACTTTTGGTTCTATTTTTATGAGTATAATTTCCTACTTCTCTCTCAACAGCTTTCCTGATTAAGGATATTTTAGTAGCTGGCCCCTTTCAAAACCATTTTAAGAAGCTTTTGTAATAGAGATTTGTCTGTTATTCATTTGTGACTTTGAGAAAAGTCACAGGAAATGGCCTGCTGCCCCAAAAGACATCAGAAGATAGCAGTGGGGATAGAGTGCACATGCAGGGAAAGACAGTGGGAAGGTGACTTCGGAAACGATTTTTTTTCCTGCCTGTGCTTTTCAAGATGATGTTGCTTATCTTAGTTTTCTCTTAAGATTTGATGGGTCCATGCAGGATAATTTTAAATGCCAATGTAATTAACTTCTCTTTTCCCCCTTCAGCATTGCTATGGCAACAAAAGAAAATATGACTTCACAGAGAGGAATGTTGAAGTCCATTCAGAGCAAAATGAATACTTTGGCCAGTATCCTTTTTGAAAGTTTGAAATCTCCAGGTTTTGAGGTGAGGGTGGGGGTCTGTGTGTTCTTTGGTTTTGGTTTTGGCCAGGTTGCCATCATCAGCAGTTGAGGCTATCAGTAGTTACATGTGACTATGCCTTGCATTCCTGCTCTATAAAAGTTGGTACTGTTAAGTACCATTTGTAAAAGATTCTACACCAGAAGTCTGGTATTAGTAGATTTAGGGGAAAAAAATGATAAATGTGAATTTTCAAATTATTTTACATTTTAAAAACTCTTACGATACCTGGGTGGCTCAGTTGGTTAAGCGCCTGACTCTTGATTTATTTTGTCTCAAGTCATGATCTCACTGTTGTGAGATCAAACCTGGCATCAGACTCTCCCATTCATGCTTCTTTCTCTCTCTCTCTATCTTTCTCTTCCCCCCAAAATAAAGATTAAAAAAATTTTTTTAATGTTTTATTATTTATTTTTGAGAGAGAGACAGAGCGTGAATGGGAGAAGGGCAGACGGAGAGGGAGACAGAATTGGAAGCTGGCTCCAGGGTCCTGGCTGTCAACACAGAGCCCCACGCAGACTCATACGACCTGAGCCAAGTCAAATGCTCAACTGACTGAGCCACCCAGGTACCCTAATAAACATTTTTTTAAAAAGCTATTAAATCCATGTTAGAACTCCACAGTATATATTATTCTTACCTCAACATCATAACTTATATGCTTTTTCTTACTCCATTTTTCAGTTTGGAGAATAAGTCACTGGCGGATGTTTAGAAGGAGACAGCCATACATGTAGATGAGTTATAACTGCTGTTAGAGTATTTTCATTGCGACTCTTATGCAAAAACTGAATATTAGAATAGATTCTCTGCTTGTTTATTGTGACCTCTACCTTTTTAATTCTTGAGGTCCCTGATTGAGCTAGGATTACTAATAATAATATGAACCCCAGGGGGGGAACTGGTAAGCCTGTGACCCTGAAACATTGTGTTTACTTTCTGAGAAGTCAAGACTTTTAGAGAAAAAAGTTTCCTTCCCCAATTACTAAGAGGGAAGGGCCAAAAAAGTTGAGTATCTTCTGGTGTTAGATAAATTTTTTAATGTTTATTTATTTATTTTGAGAGAGAGAGTATGAGAAGGGAAGGAGCGGAGAGAGGGGGAGAGAGAGAATCCCAAACAGGCTCCATGCTTTCAGTGCAGAGTCCAATGCAGGGCTCGAACTCATCAACAATGAGATCTTGACCTGAGCCAAAACCAAGAGTCAGACGCTTAACTGACTGAACCACCCAGGCACCCAGGTCCTAGATAATTTAAGGTCACTTTTAGTTTGATACTTATTTGCCTAAGGAATATCCTGAAGTATATTTTGTATTTTCCAACTTTTTTTGTAAATTTTCTTCCTGTGCTATCATGCTAAGTATAAAACAACATATCCACAATCATTTATATTTTATATAGGGCTGTACAGATTACAGAGTACTGTTATATACATTGTATCATCTTGCTGTTACCACAAATTATAATAATTCCAGAAGAATGCGTGTGTTAGTCAGGATTCCATAGAGAGATAGTAACAGAAACCTCATTTAGACTGACTTAATAGGGCAAAAGAGGGAATTAATTTGTTCATATTTATCTAAAATTCAGGGGAAGAATTTAACTTAAGCTCAGATTTTATTGTCAAGAATCAGCTTTTCCTCTCTCTTTTTCCCCTACCTACTCCATCTCTTATCTTTGCTTTTCTGTGATTGGCCTCATTTTCAGAGAGGTTTTCTCCACATAGTGATAGAGATGGCGAGAAGAGTCGCCTTCTGCCAGTAAAAAATCCCTATGGAAATTGGGGTCTTTTTTAATAGCTGTAATGAAGCTCTTAAGAAGATTGTGGTTGCCCCAGCTTAAGTCACTAGGAGGGAATATTCTTCCTGGCCAGTCCTGAGTTTGTAAATATACCCAATGGCAGAGGACAAGATCAGCCTACACTATTACATGGGCTGAACTAGATTATTATAGAAGGAGAGAGAGGGGCTTCCCTGAAGGTAATATGCCTGTTGGAGACAGAATTCCCTAATGCCACAAGTACTCTACAGGGATTGTTGGTTCTTTTACCAAGCAAGAAAAGATTAAGCATTGGCTCTATATGAGATTTGTACCTCGTAAAGGTTTTTGCCTCCTATTTCATGTTTCCTGTTCTTCAATATTTTTAAAAATTATTTCTGCAAATTTTTTTTTATTAATTCAGAAAACACATTGACGCCTACAATATGTAAAGCCCAGTTCTGGATAGACAGGGAACCCTAAGATTAAAAGAAAACATGTATTAAAACAGTACATAATATAGGTGTACTGACTTTGATAGTACACCTATATTAACAAAGAGGATGCACCTGAAGGTATATTGTAAGAAACGCAAATCAGGGGTGACTGTGTTGCTCAGTCAGTCTGACTCTTGGTTTTGGCTCAGGTCATGATCTTGTGGTTCATGAGTTCGAGCCCCATGTCGGGCTCCACAGTGCTGGTACAAAGCCTGCTTGGGGTTCTCTCTCTGCCTCTTTCTCTCCGTCCCTCCCTCCCTCCCTCCCTCTCTCTCTCTCACACACACATACACACAAAATAAATAAACTTTAAAAAAAAGAAAATAATTTAGGATGTACAGGCATGTGCTTTGGTCTACAACATACAAACAAGAATATGAAGATATTTTGAAATACTAAGTAAAATATAGTTGTGACTGCTTTTCTAAACCTCTAAAACTGGAAATTTCCTCTCTTTTTTTGTTTCCCAAGTAGGACAACTAGAACAGTGTAGCCCACTCTCCTACCATGTCCTACCTACTGCTGCAGAGTGAACTACAGATTTTAAATAATTCACCAGTAACTGATTTATTCAGACCCTAGGGTTGCTTCCTGCCGCTATTGCCTGATTCCAGGGGGGTATTACCGTGTGAGGGGAGGGTCAGGAACTTCAGAACTCCTCTGGCTAAACTTCCCACTTTCCTGAGAGAAAGGGTTTAAAACCAGGAGGGAGGGCGGGAGGGAAGCAGAGAGAGAAAGAGGGAGGGGGAGAGAGAGCGAGGGAGAGAAAGGGAGAAGAGTAGGGTGGTGGTAGCAGTGGCAGTTGGTTGTATTTACGCCTCCCTGCCCCGCAGAGCTCCTGTGTCCTACGCACACTGCTTCCCGCCCTGAGCCCCAGCCTGGTGCTGACTCCTCAGTTGGTTTGGGACCTTGAGCAGTAGGATAGTCCCAGTTTGGGCACGTGTCTTTTAAAGACTCCGTCAGTGTCATTTTCTTCCCCTGTATTGTCATTATTTATTGTTTCTGGACTCCACTGATCTCTATTTTTGTGACTCTCGTGACTTTTCACTAAAGAGGCTTCTTCAAATATGACCTTAATAAAGATTTCCCAAAGATCGTTTTCCTGCTGTGAACAGCCTGATCCAGCGAATCAATCTGAGGAAACGCCGAGACTCCCTCATCCTGGGCGGTGTAATTGGTGTCTGTACCATCCTCCTGCTGCTGTATGCTTTCCACTGATGGGACATCTCCAGGGACTCATGACAGCCACCACTTTCACACCCCGATCCGATCCGGAACAAGGAAAAGTAGGAAGGAGAAGTTGATTGTCCTGGTGATTAGCCTGGCCAACAGGATTAATTCAAGACTGATGGTGATGGACTCTGTGACACAGTCAGGTTGAGCTGAAGCCACAGAACTTCTGTGCTATCTTTTCTAACACACATTTCCTTCTGATTTTAGTTTTAAAAAAAAGTTTTCAGTTGCTTTTGTCTTCCCAGGAGGTAAGTAAACCAATCAGAAACAGAGTCTCTGTGCTTCGGTAATAGTGTCGGAGGCTGATAACAAGCCACCCGTAGCTGGACTCCGGAAAACCAGGTTTCTCTGTATCCAAAGACTGCTTTTCCTTCCGCCACCAGATTGGATTGTGAATACAAATAGTTCTTGTCCTTTTATTTTACACTCATGATGAGAAATCACAAGTCATTTCTTGATAAGCTGTGCTATAAATTTCTACTCTGTGTCCCTGTTTTGGTATTCAAGAAAAATTACATTTTTCACATTTTCTTTGAGATGCTAACAGGTCAACTTCAACACAGTTGAGGTTGTCCGAAACAGAAGACAAACACTGCAGAAAAGCTTTTTTCTTCCTCTTTTTTTAAATTGTATGCACACTGGGATTAACTGTATTGCTGGAAAAGCATCAAGAATAACAGGCTTTCTTGTCCATCATTGTTTGGTATTTTGTTTATTTCTTCCATTGGATTAATATTTGCTACTACAAGAAAATGAAATCTCAGTTCTACCATGGTAAAAGGAACGAAGAGCCAATGTCTGTCAGTGCCCCCAATTATTCTTCATTATTCAATTATTCAATTATTCTTCAGGATTAGCCCTGAGTGAGGGGACTGCTCAATTTCAGTGAGATCTGTTCAACAAGCCACATGTAAAAAGACATTGATTGAGGGGTCATCAGCCAGATAATTCCATTTGTAAATGCCCCATGATTTATGAGCAGAAGTTCAAGAACTCCTGCCTGATGTACCAGGAATTCTGTGTTTTATGAAAACCTATTCATTCCAAATCTGTTAAGCCTTTCCAAACATCCAGAGAATGGTTTTACTGTTGAAGGTGCGTGTGGCAGAATCCATCTGTATCTGCACCTGTCTTCTCTACTGCCATCCCTGGACAGTGACAGAATTTAAACCACCCACCAGAATTCTTTTCAGGTTTAATCATTTTCTGTTTCTATAAACTTACGACTTACCCACCTGAACTACTACAGGTAGTTTGAAGACGTCAGCGTCTACACTCCTCACCAAGAAAGAAGTTTGCTCTTCACCATTGGAATGGACTCTGGTATTTATAGTATTAGCTTCAGACTGTGCCACAGGGAATAAAAGGATGTGAGCTGGAGTTCTTAACTGCATCACGGTGGGTGATGGCATTCCGGTGAACTTGGCACACAGGGTGATGGCTATCCTAACCCCTGATCTGGTACAGAAACTGAGAGCTTTTTCATTCTGTTGGCAAAGTTTTATTATGTTCTGGATATGAAAGGTATTGGATACATTTTTTTAAACTATGAGGTTTATTTTTCTAAATATGGGTTGATTGATCAGATGACTTGATTGGGGGTGCCCTTAAAACAAAGTCTAAGTTTTCCCAATGTGAATCTTAAAGGATCGGAGAAGTTCATTTATTAAATTCTCTGTTGGGAGAACAAGAATGGTCTCCCCTGACACTTTATTATCTTTGATTTTTCAAAGGGCCTTGATTGGTGGTTGTGCCTCAGCTAGAATTTATGGGACTTTCATTGCTATGTGGTTGGCATTTATAAAATCTGAAGTATCATAAATAAAGTTATTTATTTAATTTTACTACCAGCCTTTTTTACTGGTCTGATTATTTGGTATATTTGTTAAAGCTGATTGTGTGAAAGTAAAACTAGGAGCTGAGCTGCTTACTGCACTGAGCAAACAAATACTTTTGATGGCTGATGAGCCTTTCCTTTAGGGTTATGCTTAAATGAAGTAATAGAATTATGTTGGTTATTTTCTTTATGAAAATAAACTAGTTCTTCCAAGGAAGTTGAAAAAGTTTGGTGTAGATGTTGGTGTCCAGTAGGTCCGACTAACCTCCCAGTGCTGTAGCCCATAGTGAGGTGGCCCAGGGCCGAATGTAGAGAGCCAGGACAGGGCTTGTTCTTTTCTCTTGGGGTTCCCCCATTTGCAGAAGGAAGCCCTGGAGTAAGGAAATACGAATGTGTCATTTACAAGAAGAGGATTTGGATTCCCTGGTAGCTGACTTGAACTCTTTCGGTTTGGTGCCATTTAACTTTTTTTTTAAACCACCTTTTCTTCTGTCCTTACAGCCCTGTTGCCAGGCTCAGGGGCCAACAGGAAGTCGCTTGTCAGAGCTGGGAGGTCAGGAAGGAAGGAAGTTTCATTTTAAGGGAAGTTATTCTCTCTTGGCCATTGTCATATAATGGACCTTTCATTTGGAATGATTTTAGTAATAATTCAAAACTTTCCATTTCACCAAGAAGTGTGAAAAACCGCACCACCAAAAAGGACAAAATTTCTAAAGGTATACTTCTGAGATTTGGTCTTAATGTGAGCTGATAACCTTAGTTAAAAATGTTTAATTTACAACTAAGTTCAAACCCCGATATCCCAGTGCTTCGGGTGATGTGTCCTGGCTATCTCTACGTTCCTCTTAGTCTTTTCAATGATGCTGAAGGATTCCTTGTAACCTGCATTGCTCACCCTTTATTTTTCTAACGTTAGAAAAGGGCTTTCCTTCTCTACTGTTCCTCTCTCCTTTGTACCAAACTTCACTTGTACAGAGAGTGCCTCTTTTTCCCCACTTCCCAGTGCTCAGAGCAGGCGTGGAAGTAAAATCCTAAGTATTGAGACAAGTGAAGAGAGGAAACCTCTCACGGGCACTTTCTGTACCTGAAACCAAATAATATTTACTTTAGTTCTTTCCTATTGGATCCTGAATACGTCTGAATAGGAAAACGTACTTATCGAGCCTTTTGATGTAATGACTTTTGGCCTCTCTGGAATTGAGGCACCTTGGACTTGCATTCCCACCATTAATGTTCTCTTTCACTGTTAATAATCTCAACCTGATGAAAAGGACTTTAAAGAACTGGACTAACCTTTTTGGTCTTCTAATACCTCATGTTTGGTCATTAGCCAGATACGATTTCTTGGAAATTGACTGAGTTTTCTAACTTGCTTTTGAGGATAAATGGCCATGTCTAATATTACGCTGAAGTTGGTGGCAAATGTAATAACTAAAGAGCAAATGGGTTCTACTCAGAAAGTTGAAATGATTATGTTCCATTCTCCTCTTGGGTTAGAGGTTATTTAGCCTGGTCTCTACAGAGACACAGAGCTTTTCATCATGGTCTTTATAAACTAATCTTGTTATTTTTTTATAAAGCTGCATATTCGTAAGCTTATATGGGCAAAGAAAATACGGAGAGACTAAGTGACTCTTAAAGGTGTTTACTGGGTGAAAAGCTGAGACAAGGCTGAGCCATGTGTTGAAGGACCATTCCCCTTCTTTGTCCGTAGTGTCTCCCCTCAGTACCAGAGTATTTGCGTCTGTCCCCATCCCGTCAGCTCTTAGAGAGAGAGGGAAATCCATTCCAGTCACATTCCACCATGATAAAAGACGTTTCCTCACGTAAAATGCCAAGACAGGTTTTTAAAAATCTATTCCAAATGCACTTTCTAATTTTTTTTGCTTTTAAAATGGCTTCTTGGAACCAGATTTACTGTATTTGTACTTAATTTTTGTTCTCATCTAAATGTGCATTTTCTGACTGTATAGAAGAAGCTTTGTTATGTAATTTAATAATAAATTAGAAATCTAAATGGCTGTGCCTGTGGTTGTTTGTACTGAAGCCGCACCAGCGAGGCAGTCTGTGACGGTGATTGTGGAATCTTCGCTGTTGATCGGTATTCCTCGTGAGGTCCTAAAGCCCAGGCTGAGGGTGAGGCAGTGCTGAGAGGCTGCCTGGCGCCTGTTGCTCAGAAACGTCCTAGGGCTTTGCCATGGACAGTGTAGCCCCAGGAATGAAGGAACACCTCTTACCAAAATGAAACTTCAGAAGGTAGGATTGGGAGTGCAGAATTCTAGAACTGAGCCAGGAAAATAGGTTCTTACCCTCCCTACATAATGACCTTTTATTCAATAGACCAGAACTTGATTCTCTACCCCACCAGGGAATTTGAAAATCCCTCGTCTTCCATTACCTCTCCAAGTGTTCTTATTCATGTTTTCTTCATCTTTTTTTAAATTTTTTAATGTTTTATTTATTTCTGAGAGAGAGCGTGAGAGAGAACAGCGTGAGCAGGGGAGGGTCAGAGCGAGAGGGAGACACAGAATCTGAAGCAGGCTCCAGGCTCTGAGCTAGCTGTCAGCACAGAGCCTGACGCGGGGCTCGAACCCACGAACCGTGAGATCATGACCTGAGCCGAAGTCGGACGCTTCACCGAGTGAGCCACCCAGGCGCCCTCATTTTTTTTTTTTTAAATAACAGTATAATTGAGATAAAATTCACATACCATAAAATCCACCCTTTTAGGCTGTACTGATGGGTGTTAGTTGTACAACAAGCACCACTAACTTCAGAACATTTTCATCACCCCCAGAAAGCAGCACTGTCCCCATTAGCAGTGACTCTCCACCCCACTCTCAGTCCTTTTTGTCTGGCCAGACTGTTCTTACTGATTTGGCCACCCCAGTTTTTCCCTCTCATCCGTTCACATGGCTTCTAAAGTACCCCCCCTCCTTCTTGAGATCCTGACCTTTCTCTGGCTACTAACACGTGCCCAGCCCTGTACGTGCACAGCCCCACGTAGACGTACGTAGAGCCCATCACCACTCGTAGCGAGGTTAGCTGTCCCTTTCACAGGTAAGGAGACAAGCCCAGAAAGTAAAACAAGCCCAGAGTGGACAGAAAAGCAAGGATTTGAATCTTGAGGGCTTTTTGATGCCAAATGCCGTGCTGGTTCCGGAAAGTATAACTTGTGCTGCATGATCACAGGAGAAGCTAGGAAAGAAGCACCCGTTTTGCCTGGTTTTCACAATGATGATAAATGTAAATCTTATTTAAGGTCCTGTGGCTGGACTGTTTTCAAGGAATACTAAGTATTGGCCACGTGCTTAATAAAGAAGACTCGTTTGTAAATCACTTCCTTTATGAGAACTTCTATATTGAAGTTGTAAAAAAAAAAAAAATGTTTTTTAGTGACTTGAATTCGAGCCAAACTTCCTGCTCAGCTCTTCGGACCTTCTCGTTTCGAACCCCAGAGGTCTTCCTGGAGATGGCCAAGGGCCAGCCCGACAGGGCACCTCCGCGCAGATCCTGAAGCCAGTGCCGCCCACACTGTGGCAGGGGTGCGTTTTCCTTTCCAGGTGCAATGGCTCTGACGGGCGGCCACTCCCATTATCCTGCCCTTTCCTGGGGAAAGGATCTGAGGCCCTGCCCCAACATGCTTTGTCTGATGGCAGAGAGGCCTGGAATTAAAATATAAAGTGTGGCTGGAGACTCTCCCTGAAGATGTTTGCTATCAGGATATTTTCTCTCGTTTCTCTTTTAAAGCAAAAGGCTGGAGAAAAATCTGTCCCTCCTCCTGAAGGTGCCGATTTGCTGGCTGAGCTGGAACAGAGGGATGCTCTTTCGTCTGCTGCCTTCTGCTCCGCAGGCTAAGATTCCCCACTCTGGCAGAGTCCTCAGCTCGCGGCTCTCTGTTACTCACTCTCTGGAAACACATAAAAAGCTGAGAAGATTGGGCGCCGAAAATCTGTAAATGCTTCAAGGAATCCCAGAGATCACGGCGATTTTCTCGCCCTGGTCAAATCCTCATCTAATTTGTTATCCTGATCTGTGGTATTCAGTTTCCCTCCTTTGGGATACAAGGCTCTTAGGAAACAGTCGCTTTCTCTTAATTAGTGCTTTTTTTTTTTTTTTTAGATAATCTGTAGCATCCAATTAGTATCTCTAGCATCTCTTTCATCCTTTTACTGATGAAATTGCTCACAGCTTGAGGGAGAGCAGGCAAATATGAATGGTGACGACTTTTGACTCGGTGCTGAAAAAGTATGGTTCAGACAGAATCATTTCCCCCAGAGCCACAAGGTATCTCTAAATGAGTGCGGCACATACAGAATTCATACAATGCTCCCTACGAATACGACGTCCTGTGTTTTTCACTCTGGAGTAAGTCCTCAGTCCCCTCTTGTCCTCTGCTGTCCCCCCTACATGTCCCTCTGAGCCGGGTGCCCTACCTCTCATGTAGCCCCCCCTCAACCCGCTCTGCGCACAGCTGCCTAGTTTGTCCTCCTGACCCACTTCCGGCCTCTCCTCGCTCTGTTCAGGAGTATTTGGCAGCTCCCTGTTATGTACGCCCGTGTGTTATAGTGAGTTAACACTCGGAACAGACACCCGGAGCTTTGCCACGTTCACGCACACGTCACACAACCTCCTGTCCACGTAGTGAGGTAGGGTTCGTTTACACGAGCAAACCAGCCCGGGAGGTGAGAGCGCTCCTGACAGCCGCCCGCCGCCCCGTGGGCCGCAGTCAGCAGGGCGACCCGGCGGAGCAGGAAGACCAAGGCGCGGAGTCGGAAGTCCTCGGAGCCGATCCCTTTAGGCCACGGGCAGACTCACTGCACCACGCTAAGCTCAGTCTTCTTCCCTGCAGAGTGGACCCCGGCGGCTTTAGGCGGTTGTAGAGACGGAATCAAGCCAAACATGACAGTGGCACAAAATTCCTCAGAATGTCCTCAGGAAGCAGTGTGGGGGCAGAGGGAGCGTTCCTTAGACGGTGAGTCCCTGGAGAGCCGGGACAGTGTTCTGTTGCCCCGTGTCATGTGTATGAACTTTATGCAGAAACTGTCACAAAATACCTTCTCAATTCAGTTAAATCTGACTCAGAGCCCTGTCCTATTTGGCTTAGCGGGGGAGAAAAAAGAATCTTGGTCATAATTGCATCCCCTTCCCTTTGCCTCTTGGCTTGTGCAAAGCTACCAAGAGCCTTTCAATGTTCAGAACATTTGGGGCAGACATTCTAATCCACACTGAACGCCACAGTAACCCCAGTATGTTCACTTTCTTTCTTTCTTTTTTTTTTTTTTTGAAAGAGAGACAGCGTGAGCAGGGGAGGGTCAGAGAGAGAGGGAGACACAGACTCTGAAACAGGCTCCAGGCTCTGAGCTGGCAGTCAGCACAGAGCCCGATGCGGGGCCCGAACCCACGAACCGCGAGATCATGACCTAAGCGAAAGTCGGACGCTTAACCGACTAAGCCACCCAGGCGCCCCAGTGTGTTCACTTTCTGAGCCCACATATGTCACCTTGGGCATAGGGATCTTTGCCAAGGGGCTCCTGGGCCTTGGGCTCGCCCTCCCTGGTGCGCGCCAACCCACAGCCGTTCCCCTGAAGTGACTGTTAGGGACTGGGACGCCAGCAGAGGGTGAGGCACAGCTGATACCAGTGGCCCCACACACTTCCCAGTCTGCCAGCGCACACTCCCCCCTCCCCGA